ACAGTTTAAAAATACACAGTGAGGCGAAACAACGTTCCTCCAGGAACCAAGGTGCTACAAGACAAGTTAGTGCAAAAAAAAAAATATATATATAATATATCTAGTAATAATATTGTGCAAAAGAGCATTTACAGGTTGGTGTGTGCGATGGTTTGGTGGTGTAGGTCAGTGTGTTTGCGCTTGTGTTGGTTAGTCAGTCCAGTCTCAATGTTTTGAGGTAGTTGAGTTAAGCTGAGTGATAATGTTAGTGTATGTGTGTGTGTGTGTGTTTATCAGTCAGTCCCTTTTTGCTGAGGACACGGATGGCTTGTGGAAAAAAGCTGTTGCACAGTCTGGATGTGCGTGCCCGAATGCTTCGGTACCTTTTTCCAGATGGCAGGAGTGTAAAGAGTGTGTGAGAGGGGTGTGTCCGATCAGCCACAATGCTGGTGGCTTTGCGAATGCAGCGTGTGGTGTAGATGTCCTCAATAGAGGGTAGAGAGACCCCGATGATCTTCTCTGCTGTTCCCACTATCCGCTGTAGGGTCTTGCGGTCTGATATGGCACAGCTCCCAAACCAGACAGTGATGCAGCCGCTCAGCATGCTCTCAATAGTTCCTCTATAGAAGGTGGTCAGGATCGGTGGTGGAAGCCGGGCCTTTCTCAGTCTTCTCAGAAAGAAGAGACGCTGTTGGGCTTTCTTGTGCAGGGAGCTGGTGTTGAGGGACCAGCCGAGGTCCTTCTCCAGGTGTACGCCCAGAAATTTGGTGCTGTCAACGATCTCCACAGAGGAGCCGTTGATGCTCAGCGGTGAGTGGTCGCCTCGTGTCCTCCTAAAGTCAACAACCATCTCTTTTGTCTTGTCAACATTCAGAGACAGGTTGTTGTCCTTACACCAGTCCGTTAGCCTCTGCACTTCCTCTCTGTACGCTGACTCGTCGTTCTTGCTAATGAGACCCACCACGGTCGTGTCATCAGCGAATTTAATGATGTGATTTGAACTGTGTGTTGCTACACAGTCATGAGTCAGCAGTGTGAACAGCAGAGGACTGAGCACGCAGCCTTGTGGGGCCCCAGTGCTCAGTGTGGTGGTGCTGGAGGTGCAGTTCCCGATCCGTACTGACTGAGGCCTTCCGGTCAGAAAGTCCAGGATCCAGTTGCAGAGGGAGGTGTTCAGGCCTAACAGGCTCAGCTTTCCGATCAGTTGTTGGGGGATGATCGTGTTAAATGCTGAACTGAAATCTATGTACAGCATTCGGACGTGTGAGTCCTTCTTGTCCAAGTGTGTCAGGGCAAGATGGAGTGCAGTGGAGATGGCGTCGTCCGTTGAGCGGTTATGGCGGTATGCAAATTGCATTGGGTCCAGTGAGGGGGGCAGCAGGGTCTTGATGTGTCTCATGACGAGCCGTTCGAAGCACTTCATGATGGTGGGTGTAAGTGCGATAGGGCGGTAGTCATTGAGACAGGACACAGAAGACTTCTTGGGCACGGGGACGATGGTGGTGGCCTTGAAGCACGTGGGGACAACGGCACTGCTCAGAGAGATGTTGAAGATGTCGGTGAGAACATTTGCCAGCTGATCAGCACATTCTCTGAGCACTCTGCCTGGGATGTTGTCTGGTCCAGCAGCTTTACGTGGATTGACTCTGCGTAGAGTTTTCCTCACCTCAGCTGTAGTGAGACACAGGACCTGGTCGTTCGGAGGAGGGATGGTCTTCCTCGCCGCCACGTCGTTCTGCCTGTCGAACCGAGCATAGAAGTTGTTAAGCACATCTGGGAGGGAGCCGTCACTGTCACAGGCAGGTGGTGTCGTCCTGTAGTTAGCGATGGCTTGTAAGCCCTGCCACATGCGCCGTGTGTCACCGCTGTCCTTGAAGTGGTTGTGGATTCTCTGGGCGTGTGCGCGCTTCGCCTCTCTGATGGCCCGAGAAAGTTCAGCCCTCGCTCTTCTAAGCGCCACCTTATCTCCCTCTTTGAAGGCAGAGTCTCGGGTCCTTAGAAGTGCACGCACTTCCGCAGTAATCCACGGTTTCTGGTTGGGTTGTGAGATGATGGTCTTGGAGACAGTGACGTCATCGGTGTACTTGTTGATGTAGCTGGACACTGATGACGTGTACTCCTCCAAGTCAGTGAAGTCGCCGTAAGTTGCAGCCTCTCTAAACATGTTCCAGTCAGTGCTCTCAAAACAGTCCTGAAGAGCAGAGATGGCTCCTGCTGGCCAGGTTTTCACCTGCTTCAGAACCGGTTTTGATCGCCTGACGAGTGGTCTGTATGCTGGAATTAGCATAACAGAGATGTGGTCTGAGTAGCCGAGGTGGGGGCGGGGCTCTGCCCGATATGCGCCGGGGATGTTTGTGTAAACAAGATCCAGCGTGTTTTCCCCTCTCGTTGCAAAGTCCACATACTGATGGAATCTAGGAAGCACTGACTTGAGATTTGCATGGTTGAAATCTCCAGCAACAATAAACAGTCCATCCGGGTGTGTATTTTGCAGTTCACTGATCTTTGTATACAATTCCCATAGCGCTTCCTTAGCATTAGCGCTAGGTGGAATGTACACTCCGATAATGAAAACAGTGGTGAATTCCCGTGGTAAGTAAAAAGGTCTGCATCTAACAGTCACAAACTCCACCAGCGATGAGCAATAACTAGAAACTAGCACAGAGTTCTTGCACCATTTCTCGTTGATGTAAACACACAAGCCGCCACCGCGAGTCTTACCGCACAGAGCTGCATTTCTGTCGGCGCGAAACGAGGCCAGCCCGTTTAGCTGAATAGCGGCGTCCGGTACTCTTTCGCTGAGCCATGTTTCCGTGAAAACAAAGACACAGCGGTCTCTAATCTCACGCTGTGTGGCCTGCTGGAGTCGGATGTAATCCAGTTTGTTATCCAGGGAGCAGACGTTGGATAAGATGATGGACGGTAGAGCCGGCCGGCTAGGGTTTGTTTTTAGCCTAGCACAGACTCCCGCCCGCTTGCCGCGCTTCCGCTTCCTCGCGCAACGCTTCCGATGTCTCCACCTCCGTCCGCCGGCATCAGGCAACGCCAAGGCTTTGAGGCCTGGTTCGCGGAGCAAGCCGAGTTCACGCAGCGTTTCCCGCAGCCCCTCCTGGATGTCATCAACTAGGTTATTTAGGTTGAAAAGTGTCTGGCTGTTGTATGCACGAACACCGACACCAGTTGCGACGTTATCCATACATAGTGCAAAATAAGCACGCTGCACACAAAAACGTAAACAATAAACAATGCAGCACCAGTTTGGCTCCGGAGTGGCCGCTGCATGCTACTGCCGCGCCGCCATTTATATATGTAGAAGAGGATGTCACATCGTGACCCAGGCTTTGATGTTGCTATTACTTTGTCATTAAATGCATGCTCTTTATCTCTGCAGGCTATGCAAGTGTGAGACTGCGTGCATTTTTTAAAGTCAAAATTTACAGATTGTAGGATTCAAATATGAATCTAACAGCTGTCAGGTCTGAATTTGACACATTTCTGCATTTTCATTCAGCTTGTAACAGATCTGATACCAGAGAGAAGTTAAACAAAATCTGCTCATTGTGTGCACGAGGCTGTGAAAACACAAGCAAGAGACACAAGACTGATCTGTGTAGAAATGTAACTAAAAACTGGAAACACTGCAAGCAGCACTGTAAAGCCACTAGCACAGGACAGCCCAAGGTTAGGGAGTGCCTTCATAGCTTTGAGCCATCCAGCTGTGCTAACGCTGCACTCATTTTGATAACCCCTCCTCTTCTAATTCCTAATAATTGAACACTTCTAGAGACAACTATCACAGCCATAGGGAACAAAATAAGAGTTGCTTTTTTCAGGGTTAAATTCTGTTATTTGCTGTAAAGTGCATGAACTTAAATAGGTTTTGTAGGAATCATTTAAATGCGCTCCAAATTTCTTTCCCAAAAAAGGGAAACTTCTACAAATACTTATGCACGAAGGCAAAAATACTTCCACACCTTTTAGTCACAAAACTGACACTGCACCTCTTTAGTAAAATCTTACAGTAACTTTTTAATGCCAAAAGAGGGTTTCGCACTGCTGCAGATTGTTAGTCTGGCCTCAAATCTCTTGGAAAATGGGAATGGTAAACAGACTGGGTTATATAGAGTTTTTCTACTCTGAGCACTCAAAGCGCTTTACACAGCTCCCCGAATTCACCCATTCACACATGCACTGTTTTTCTATGTTGTTTCTGTCTAAGAACCTTCTGTCTAACGCTCACACATACACACTCATAATCCCACGAATGCACCGGAGAGCAACTCGGGGTCTTGCCCAGGATATTTGATAGGTGACCTGCTCTACCATCTACCGCCTGAGCTACAGCAACCCCAATTGCAATTTATCATGGCTCTGATACAGGGATGACAATTAAGCTACTGCTGCTGTGTCATGTGGGTAACATCCCTGCTTTAGGGATGCTCCTCCTGTGAAAGAGAACTACTGTGTTGCACTTTAGCCACATGCAAAACAAGCTAGCTTTGGAAACAAAAGGATTTTATCTTTGAACTCAACTCTTGGAGACATTTTTAGTCAAATTTGGTTATGTCACAGGTGAAACTTCCATATAAAGAGGAAGTTTGAATGTAAACTTAACCCTTACCCTGAATTACCCTTAATTAACCCTAACCACTGACGACAGCACTCAAACTGTCTGTAGGCTACACAAATGGATGAGTTATAGAATACACACTGTATGGACAGAACCAGCTGATATGTTGAAAATGTATTAACAAATTGTCAGTTTATTACCAACACTAATCTCAGTTTTGCTATATTGCCTTACGATGGCAAAGAAAAAGCCAAAGAGTCTTGTGGACAAACATGTAGCATCATCTTCACAATGTACTGTAAGTCTGTGCCGTGTTTTGAGGTGGGGTGGTGCTCTTTTTTAAGAAATCAGTGTATGCACTGAAGCCCTGGCCTCTGAGATCAACCACTGAACCACTTCCAAATGCATCACTGCTGCTGAACGTGTTCATAAATGCAGAGAGGTCACTCACAGACTCGTGGTCCGTCAGGTCAGCCAAAACGAAGCAGCGGTACTGCTGCTGTCCAGGGAGCGGTTTGTTGTAGAAGCCGCTGTATTTCTTTTCGTCACCCAGAGTGAAGATCTCAGGGAGCGTATCCAGCTTGGCAGCGATGTAGGGCTGCAGGAAGTCATTGCTCTGCCTTTTCCTTCTCTGCAGGCTGCTGTCAGCACCGGACTCCAGAAGCTACCAGAGGAACAAAATATTATGAGTTGACATGACACTGGAGCATAGTGACACAAGATGACATAACAAACCTCATCTCTGTAGATGACGGCTCTCTTTTCCTGACCCTCTGTGACAGTTATACGATTCTTCCATTTTATTCACTTGTTTTACTCTTATTTATTTCTAATCCAAACCACCTTTAACTGTTGATCTGTTTTCACTTAATTAAGGCTTAAAGTCTGCATGTCTTACTGTAACAATGCTAACAATGTAACCAGGCAAGAAACTAATGGCTCCACAAAGCAACAATGCCACCGGAGCATTCATTAATAATGCAAAAAAAAAGCCAATGGGAGATGCCATGAGGGTTATATCCATCCTTTTCTTTACACTCTGCAGTTTTTATCACCTGTCTTATTGATTAGAATGAACTAAGTTGCTGAGACCTCTGTGTGACTGGTCAACAAAGTCAAAAGAACCAGTAAAGATGAGCAATGTGTAAGAAGACAAACAAACAGGGTGCCGATGTTAGTTAAACCACTTTATTATGAAATGTTATTGTTCAAAATGTTCGAAATGATGCTTCATCATGCTGCTGATGCACTACACTTTTGTTCAGCAGTTTGATCAAAGCTGCAATTTGCAAAAACATACTAGAAAATAGATTTCTCTAAGTCTAAATTGAAGCAATAAACCTTTTAATTTATTTTATTTTATTTTGTTTTTGAGCCACGTAAAAATGTTACTTCTATCTTATAAATTTGTGGTGCACTTGGTGAAAGGTGCATGTTGGAGGATGCCAAACGCCTTACAATTAGCAGGATTGAATTTATAAAGTCTGAAGGCCCTCTGTGACATTCAGGAAGCACCGAGGGTCGTGGCTTCATTACTGAAACTCAGCTGCTCTCTGTGTTCAGAGACAGACGTGTCTTTCAACCACCTGCTTTTGTCATTTTAGACCAACACGTCCCCGCAAAGCAACAATATTCAAGGTGACACTGACATACTGGGGACGGTTGTCTGCGGCAAAGTCACTTCAATCACATGGATGCATCTTCTTCCTTTTTTGGGTGCTGACATTTCAAACATTCACTTTGTAAGAAAAAGGAAATTTAACAAACAGCCGGTTGACAGTATTTCACTTAAAAACGTCTCAGATGAAGGTACTGGATCCCGTGCCTTGTGTCAGTTTCAGATGCTGCTTTCTGCTTCCTTCCTTTTATGGTCCAGTCCTTGGTCCTCTCACCTGACTTATCCCCCCTGCTTGGGAGTCCATGTGAGGGCCTAGGACCCCCCATCGTCAAAGTACATGAGGGTTGTCTGGCAGATAATTTGAGCCCTTTACGCACTTTTTCAATAAGTCTACGTTTCTCAAAATTTGCTTACATTCCCCACACTTCATAAGAAAAAGTGTCATTCAGAAAAACCCACAACACTATGATATATGCCAAAGATATATCCTACTTTCTTGGATAACTAATAAACTCAAACACTGCTGCTGGAAGGAATTTGGACCTTTAAAAGCTAAATTACTCCTAATGTTTAGGTCTCCCTTTCCATCTGGAAAGCACCAATTAGCTGTATGTTTGGCTCACAGGGACATGTTGCCATTAATACGTTTTACCTTACTAAAAAAAATCACCCCGTTATGTCCTAAATAAGCAGGGCTTATAACGCCGGGGCTCATCCAGGATATATAAAAAAGGGAAATCTCTGAACTTTATCATCATGCCATAGACCAGGGGTGGGCAATTCCAGGCCTCGAGGGCCGGTGTCCTGCAGGTTTTAGATCTCACCTTGGGTCAACACACCTGAATCACATGATTACCAGGCCTCTGGAGAACTGCAGGACATGTTGAGGAGCTAATTTAGCCATTTAAATCAGCTGTGTTGGATCAAGGACACATCTAAAACCTGCAGGGACAGTGGCCCCCGAGGCCTGGAGTTGCCCACCCCTGCCATAGACCAATCCAACTCAGGGCAATAAATAAATAAACAGTAATATGAAGTTCTGTAGAATGAATAGAAACCTAAACCTGACCAGTCACCAACAACTCAAAAACAAGAAATACAAATATATGGATAAATCACACAAGATATAATAAATAAGCATTTAACATTGTGCACGACCAGATTGAAACATGCACTTGGCCTCCCTTTATTAGTAGGACAGAAGTAATGACAAGATTGATGTGCTGCCAACCATCTCTATTAGAAAATGACTCCACTAAAGTGAAGTGCTTTTCTTCAGCCAAACCCAGATAGTGATCTGCATTTTAGCAACAACACAATCTGCAGTAGAGGAAGCTGCGATAGTGACCAGTAAACACAAACCTCAGACACTGAACAACTCCATTACTTGTTGCTGTAGCTCCAAAATGACTGGAGTATAAAAAGCGGAGGCCAGAGTTACTAACAAAGACTAAAAAATACAATGCAGGTCACATTTAGACTTGTATGCAAATGATAACTATAAGTTAGTATAATTACACAGTCTTTATGCATCAGCATCCTATAAAAACAAAGACATAGACTTTAAACTGTGTATGCTGCTATTCTACAACACATACATGCCTTTTTACAGAGCTCATATTGGCCAGATTCAAATGTAATTGCACACTAATGCTTCTGTGATAACTGTGTGTTGTTTTATGCACACATGTATTGGATATGTTCAAGAGTTTCAGTTGAGGTCCAATTGTCAGTGTTTGGAGTGAGAGCTGGTTTCAGGAAAACTACAAAATACCAAAATGCTTCTTTGTCAAAGATCAGGAGAAAAGGTTAAAAAAAGCCAGACTATGAAGAGCTGTGGGCGCATTGGTTAGGGCTTTACCGTGTATGGATGAAATGGTTCTGGATGGATTGCTGCTTCTGAGCTGGGAAACAGTTATTGCCCCATGTGAAGGGGCAAGAGAGCTGGGCCAGAAGTTTTTGAATTATTCAAATGTATTCCAAGCTCTCGGTTATGGTCACGAGCTCTACATGCAGCCAAAATGAGATGTGTGTCCCAATTCATAGGCTGCATCCTTCAGAGGACCTGGCCTCCGCGGTCTACGTGTGCCGGGTCCTTCATAGACTGAGAAGGCCCGAAGTGCGAGGCTGTGAAATGGGTTGGTCTAGCCTTCAGATTTGGAATTGGCTTGGCCGCGCAATGAATTCTGGGATATGTTGGGTCACGAAGGACACACCCCATCCATCCTTCAAATTCGGGGAAATGAAGGACGCATTTGTCGGACGCATTTGGAGCAGCCTTCGTCGCCTAGCTATGACGTAATTGGCCTTGAAATGTGGCCTCCAAAGGATGCGCCCTATGAACTGGGTCATAGCTGCGTTTCTGCCTTAGACATACACCTGCTTCACCTTTACACTGAAAGTCCTGCTAGTTTGGTTCAAGGATCTTATTAGGAACACCTTTGCGCTATTTTCTTTTGGATGTTTTTTGACATGCAGAGTCAAAAGCTACATTTCATGGAAGTTTTATTTATTTAGAACCATTTTGCAACAACACTTAATTTAAGGTAAAGACACTGCTATACTAGCTATTATAGTAAACACCATAAAATCCATTATAGCTGCCGGTGTGACGTTGCCCATTGGTTTGCAAAGTCCTCTTTTGAAGCTTGAAGCATTTTGGCTGTCTCGTTCTTTATTGAAGCCATGACTGATAAACTAAGGGATACTTTAGCTACTTGTCTGTCACTACCCAAGTCATACATTGTTTCAGTGATTTCTATACAGTCTGTACAGCAATGAGGATGAACCCCCCTCTGACCCTTGGAAATAATTCAGGTTAAAGCTCTTCTACATTGGCTTAATTTTTTAAGACCTAGAAAGTCCATCTTTTACATTTTTATTTAGTTTATGACCGCAACTCTCCAGTTGAAGCAAACAAGGGTCTAGACTATGAGATACCAGACTCCAGATCTTTGCCTTCATTGTTAGACCATTATCCACTGGCATGCATTTCATAATTTGTCAGGGGAGGGAATTAATGACAAACCCATAACAGTTACTGCACAGCTCAACCTGATCAGTCTGCCTGCAGACATAGTAAAAGCCCATCTCCTTTAGATCTTGCTCAATGAAGGCTCACGGGAATACAACGCAGTGCAGCGCCTCATGTATGTAAATGACACCTTAAGCAGCAGTTCTGTTGTAGGTTAGAGAGGACTTGGAAGAGATACAATAAAATCAAAGCTAAAGGATTTTACTGACACTAGGTAATTATATACAGTTGCAGGTGAAGCAAAAAAAGCCCCATTTCTTTCTTAGTTGTTATTTTACGTTTCAGGAGCAGAGCTGACTCAGCAGTTAATGTGTCAGCAAGTTTTAAAGCAAGAACAAAGCAAAATCTCAGAATGATGCACAGCAGTTAGTTTACTCTTTGAAAAACTTCATTTATTTTTGAGTTGTAGATTCAACAAAATTAACTACTGAACTCCCGTGCCACCATTTAGCTCAGCATTAACCCAATATCGTTTACAAGAGGGGCCAACATAAGAGTGATGCCACACCGCCCCGTCTGCATTATGGGAGATGCAGCAAATTAAACTGAATCAAAAATAGAAACAAAGCTTCAGACATGAGGTAAGATTTCCCTTTGCCATCATCAGTGGCAACTCTGTACAAATATTCCTCAATCCACATATTGATGCATGATGATTTTTCTTTAATCGCCTCTATTTAGCCTCGCAACATTTCCACTTGTAAACAACATTTTCGTTTGATAGCTTCTGACCACATCTACACTTTGTTTTTTAGTATCTCTGACTGCATGACGGTGAGAACAGTCAAGTCATTCGAATATTGTTTGTACCCCTCACAACCTTTTTGAATTGTTGCGTGTAATGAATTGTGTAATGATGCTAGAAGGGCTTCAGTCTGATTGGTTGTGAAAATTCATCATGAAGACATGTAAATGAAAACAAAGCTAAAACGCAAAGCATGCAGTGACGTCAGGCGGTGCTCTAAAAAGCCGAAGAACGCTGCATTCTTTCGTAAGCGACACACGAGGGTGGTTGAAGAAGCGGATTCATAATCACAGCATTTCTGGATCAGAAGGTGTCAGTGATGTTTCAAAACTGCCAAGGTGCCACTAAATTATAAAAACTGATTCCCATTTATACTGCTGGAAACATTTTCCTGTAATGAAGGTGCACGAACTCTGTTTTGTCACTCACACTGCAATAACTTACATTTTCATTCAGTGTTTCTCGCCCTTTTCCAGATAAACAAAGCCCTCCTCAACAACAAGAAGAGGGCTTTCAGAGGGGGCAACAAAGAGGAGGTGAGGAAGGTCCAGGTGTTACTAAAGGACAAGATCAGAGAGGCTAAGGACAATTACAGGAGGAAGCTGGAGTGGAAACTCCAGCAGAACAGCATGAGAGAGGTGTGGAGGGGCATGAAGACCATCACTGGATTCAGGCCAACCAACAGCAGGGGAGCTGAGGGAGGTGAGAATAGAGCCAACGAGTTGAATCTGTTTTTCAATAGATTCGACACCACAGTGTCTACTCCCACCCCCACAACCTCACCTGCAGTCAGCCTGGAATCCAGAGCCACACCACTGTGCCAGCCTCTCTCTTCACATGTTGCCTCCTGTGAGATTCCTGACACCCCTCCCCCACCCATCACCTTCACTCAATACCAGGTTGAGATGCAAATGAGGAGACTTCACTCAGGCAAGTCTGCTGGACCAGACGGAGTGAGTCCCCTTGTCCTCAAGGCCTGTGCCCCCCAGCTGTGTGGAGTCTTTCATAAACTGTTTATGCTGAGTCTGAGTCTGCAGAGGGTCCCGGTGATGTGGAAGACATCATGCCTCGTCCCTGTACCAAAGACGCCTCGTCCCAGTGGCCCCCAGGATTACAGGCCCGTGGCACTGTACTCCCACATCATGAAGACCCTGGAAAGGCTCATCCTGGACCAGCTGCGACCCATAGTAAGACCACATCTGGATCCCCTTCAGTTCGCTTATCAGCCTCGTCTCGGAACAGAGGACGCCATCATCTACCTGCTCAATCGTGTCTACACCCATCTGGACCAGCCGGCGAGCACTGTGAGGGTCATGTTTTTTGACTTTTCCAGTGCTTTCAACACCATCAGGCCGACCCTCCTGGGTGATAAGTTAGCAGCGATGCAGGTGGATGCTTCTCTGGTGTCCTGGATTGTTGATTACCTGACAGGAAGACCACAATATGTACGTCTCCCACAGTGTGTGTCTGACAAGGTGATCAGCAACACAGGGGCACCACAGGGGACTGTCCTCTCCCCCTTCCTCTTCACCCTCTACACCACAGACTTCAGCCACTGCACAGAGACCTGCCATCTTCAGAAGTTTTCTGATGACTCTGCGGTGGTTGGATGCATCAGCAGGGATGATGAGACAGAGTACCGGGCTGTGGTCGACTCCTTTGTCACGTGGTGTGAGCAGAATCATCTGCAGCTCAACGTGGCAAAGACCAAGGAACTGATCGTGGACTTCAGGAAGACCAGGAAACACTTGACCCCTGTTTCAATCCAGGGGGTCAGTGTTGACATTGTGGAGGACTATAAATACCTTGGAGTACACATTGACAATAAACTGGACTGGGCTAAAAACACCACAGCACTTTACAGGAAGGGCCAGAGTCGTCTCTATTTTTTGAGGCGACTGAGGTCCTTCAACATCTGCCAGAAAATGCTGAGGATTTTCTATGAGTCTGTGGTGGCCAGTGCGATCCTCTATGCTGTTGCATGCTGGGGGAGCAGGCTGAGGGTCGCAGATGCCAACAGACTTAATAAACTGATCCGTAAGGCCAGCAATGTTGTGGGGATGGAGCTGGACTCCCTCAAGGTGGTGTCGGAGAGGCGGATGCTGTCCAAGATAAAGACAATGTTGGATAACACCTCCCACCCACTCCATGACATGCTGGTCAGTCACAGGAGCTCGTTCAGTGAGAGACTGAGATTACCGAAAAGCACCACTGAACGACACAGGAAATCATTCCTGCCTGTGGCTCCCTGTACAACGCATCCACTTAACACACTGTTTGCTGCTACAACTACACATGTTTCTTTTCCAGCTATTTATTTATGAGTGACTTATGTATGTATGTATGTATATATATGTATATATTGTACTATTCTTAGTTAGCGTATTGTCTGTCTTGTCTTAATGTTGGTTTAAAATGGAGCACTGTAACAAAAAATAATTTCCCCCAGGGATCAATAAAGGATTCTGATTCTGATTCTGATTCTGATAAACATGGGCAGAAAAACATTTAGCAGCTTTAATCACCTGTTTTCAATGTTATCAGTCCCATGCATATTGCCAGTAGGTTTCCTCCTCCACCTTATACCAACTCTCTGTCACCTTACTGCTGCTTCTACCCTTCACACTGGGACTAATAGGGAAATTTAACTGCAATAAAAAAACGAACAATAAAGTGCAGTTCCCTCAATGGCCACTTGAGGCTGCTTCTGGTTTTTAATTTCCCAGTTTATACCAGGCTGAGTGATTCTGTTTTTAGTGTTCCTGGATCACATTCACATGTGGGCTTGTCTTTGCATGGTTTACCCTGCATTTGTGGATGGCACTGTAAGCTGTGCTCACACACAGTGATGTCCATGACACATGTTTGATGTCGTGCTGCTCGAGGGCACAAAGACCACTGGCATCCAATACTGAGTTTTGGCCTTGATGACGAGATATTTAATGTCTTTGCAATTTTATGTTGAGGAACATTTTTCTGAAATTGTTATACAATTTGTAGATGATTTGTAGAGAAGCTCCGCCTCTCTAAGATGCTCTTTTACCTAATCATGTGACTGACCTACTGGCAGCTAACCTCCAGTTATAGTTTCTTTTTTTATACCATCACTGCGGTAACCTTTTGTTTGCCCCGTCCCACTTTTTTGGAGACGCTTTGCTGTCATCAAATTTAAAAGCAACATTTTTCTTAAAATTGTACATCTTTCATGTTTTAATATTTGATATTTTCTACGTTCCAATATGGACAAATTACTGCAGCTTATGTCCCAACTTATTTGAAAGACTTTTTCTAGGATTTGACTCCTTTTTTGCTTTTACCCAGTGTTCACAAAATTTATGGCAACAATTACAACTGATAAAAGAGCCGTTTTTAAGATTGTCAGCAACAATGAAATCAAACTGAACTAGACATCCGCTCACCTCTTGTATGTCCATGTCTTCAGGGTTTTCCCATCTCCTCAGAGAAACTGGAGTGACAGGGACAACCACTATGTAGTACCACCTGCACAAAACGTATAATGCACCCATATATGATTGTGCACCAAACACACACACAGAGCTTCAATGTTAAGAGAAGATAAGTTTATGAGGAAATTCACCTGTTACCACAACACAAGAGTCAGAAGCACAAAGTGAATTAAAGACGTATTAAAAGACTAAAAAATGCAGTTTATATGTATGCATGTGTCTAATGTTGTTTCAGCACATCTTGTAGATCTTCTCCATAAACTTTCTGAACCTTCTCTTAAACAGATGCATTCACTGAGCCTAATGAGAAGGTCTGGTTTGGACATTAGCATCTTTTTTCTCCACTGACTCCACTCCTCTTAATTACTGCTTACTTGTGGGCTATTTCTTCGGAGAAACAAACACTTGAAACACAATTAATTATTTCTATGTGCTTGTCTTCTTGACCACGCTGGGTAATAATATGAAATAAACTTCTTGTGAAATGCACCATTTGCATTGGGATTCTTATTGCTGATTACCTCAAATTGCTTTCTGGTATCATGAGAGGGCTACGAGTTGCAGTGGGGCGACTGTTAATATAGTCGTGTGGTTTTCTGCTGTAATCACGGAGCTGTTGGGCCAGAGGTTTGATTGTCTTGTTTGCACTTAAAACTACTCTGACCTTAAAGAAAACGCTTCTGCTTCTGATAATTGGCTCGCTGTGAAGTGGGTAAAACATGACAAGAAGTTAATAAAGAGAGGCTGTAATGGCTGGTGAAACACGCCAGAATTTTCTGGCTTTTTAAGATGTTTGAACTGCTAATACGCTGAGTGTATGTTGGGGAAAATAGCCTGGCACTCTATAGATGCAGTGGACAAGACATTGCTGAGATTCACACGTACCCATACGGTCTATAGAACCTGGCTCAGATCAGCTGACAGGACTGGCTAATACCCTGACACTCAACGCTCTTGGCGCCTAAAAACCAACACGACGGTATCTAACACACTAATACTGAGATGAGGAAATGAGAAAATCCAGTGATGTTGCAGCTCTGAAATATGGCCAAACTGGTGGCGAGTGGCATCTTGGCAGCTGCACGCTTGACTTTTCTCAGTTCATGGGCAGTTATTTTGCGCCTTGGTTTTTCCACACGCTTCTTGCGACCCTGTTGACTATTTTGAATGAAACGCTTGATTGTTCGATGATCACGCTTCAGAAGCTTTGCAATTTTGAGACTGCTGCATCCCTCTGCAAGATATCTCACTATTTTTGACTTTTCTGAGCCTGTCAAGTCCTTCTTTTGACCCATTTTGCCAAAGGAAAGGACGTTGCCTAATAATTATGCACACCTGATATAGGGTGTTGATGTCATTAGACCACACCCCTTCTCATTACAGAGATGCACATCACCTAATATGCTTAATTGGTAGTAGGCTTTCGAGCCTATACAGCTTGGAGTAAGACAACATGCATGAAGAGGATGATGTGGACAGAATACTCATTTGCCTAATAATTCTGCACTCCCTGTAATACTGAGATGAGGAAATGGAGGAGCAGTCACGGAAACTGTCAGTGTTAAAACAGACAAACTGTCAGCACTGACCTGACAGCCGCTGCGTCCGGGACCTTCGGCAGGCTGATAGTCACTTTACCACCTTCCTCCACATCTATATGGTGTTGAGCTGGTTTCACCGTCAGAAGGTCCGGAGCCGTTCGGATGGAGACCTGCTGCTGGAGGCCGCCAGCACTATTCCCTCGGCTCATTAGCACAAACGAATAATCAGTGTCTGGCTGCAGCTGTGTGATCAGCTTCCTTTTCAGGTTGCCTTGAACCTCCACACTCTGCTGGTTGTACAGAATCTACAGCAGGATGGAGTTATAGAGGTTAATTTACACCTTGCACTACTGTAATAATTATCACTGTGATGTCTGTCACCAATATCCAGCTCTCTGTTTTACCCAAAACAACCAGTTTTCTGCCTGCATGAAAGAGAGCGCTGAGCTTACCTTGACAGGCACTTGAGATTTGTATGTTTCTGGCACTTCCCAGGTCAGCAGGACCGAGGTCTTTGTCACAGCCTTCACACCAAAGTTCTTGGTAAACACTGAGGGAAGATCTGGATGATTATTAGGTGGTTAATTTGATTGTGAATATGACTGAGATGATTCAGTGCTGATGAGGAGGTGCAAGAAAAGCAAGACAGTTACGGGGAACACTACCAGATAGATCTCGGCACAGTTTTTATGATTTTATGATCTATAAAAGCACAAACAGGTGTTTGGCAATAACAAACGACCAAAAACTGCTGTTTCTCTAATGTCCACTTAAGCCTGCCACTACATTTTTTATACAACTCACTTGTTTCATTTGTATTAAGGATAAACTGTACATTATCAGTGGCATGAAAACGTTTACATGTGTGCAGCTGACAGATGTCTGCTCGATTAATGCCAGCTTGCAGTTTTGATAACTTTAATTGGAATTTTAATGCAATTATCTGAAAAACAATATTGCTTGCTGTGCATGTAATTGTACTAACAGTCAAGAAAGCTTGTGCTCCAATTAGTGACTTATGCTAATCAGCAGGTAACTACATGATGCACCAACAGAATCCAGGCTTATGCCTCATATCCAAATAATATCGAATAACTATCATAGCAGTGAGCAAAGATGACATGACACACATGGACTATGTAGGAAACTGTAAACAAACATAAATGATATAAATATAAATGAGTTTTTTTCATATTTAAAATTCCTCGTGTGCGTTAGTGACACTTGTCAATATCATAACCAGCTTCATGAGGTTTTCATCTCAAAAGGTTTCCAATGAAAAGATCATTGTAATAAATAACACACAGGACTTAAGTGTATCTTTAACTGTTTTCAGATGGTATGCTATAATGAGGTCTAACTTAGTGAACTAAGTGGATTTAATAGTGTGAGACTCACACACACTCACAGGAACTAGCTGCTTGCTTCCTGCATCAAATATGGCCAGAAAGTCCTTGTTTAACATCTCTAGAGAAGAATCCTACAGGGCTGCAGTTTGCAAATGCCAGCTAGAGGCAATGGTTATTAAATAAATAAAAACTCTCCAAGTTGTCAGTGGAGTAAAGTCACTTGTGACTCTACTTACTGTCTAAACTCGTTTTAATTTTCACTTTGAATCTTACAAAGTTACTCTAGTAAAACCCAGGAATAAAAAAGGGTAGAAACTGAACATAATTTGTTTCCCTGATGAAGTTCTGCTACATTTCTTTGAGTTATGTAGAGGACAGAACTAAATAATACTGGGACTAGCCTCACCCTCCTTTCAGTTTCATCTTGTTCTCAAGTTATTGCATTCACACGATTTTCAGAAACTTGCTCTGACCTTGAGGTCGAGATCACTGAGATTTTTAGTAGCTGCACCTAAGCCCGTGGTTCTCACCTGGCATGGAGGTGGACATGGTCCTGCTCTGGATGCTGGGGCTGATAGGTCCTCCGCCCTTGCTGGTGAAAGCTTGGACTCTTATGTCATAGGTTGTGTCAGGCTGCAAACCGTAGACGGTCATCTGTGTATCTGTGGTAACGTTGGTGCTGTTGTTCGGGCTGTTAATGTCTCGGTACATCACCACATACTTCACAATCTTCCCATTTCTTTCAGCCAGAGGAGGCGGGTCCCAGGCCAGTTTGGTGGAAGTTGCAGTAAGGCCGACCACGCTCAGGTTTTGCGGGTAGCTGCTGGGAATGTCCTCAGGGGTGCTGATCTCTTTTACATACTCCTCCCCGTTCCCTGCTCTGTTTTTGGCACACAGTTTGAAGATGTACACGGCACCCTTGTGGAGGCCGGTGACTGTGAAATGATCATCTGTCTTCTTGAAGTGTTTAATGGTGAAAGCTTCCTCCTCTGCTCTCTTGTACTGCAGCTGGTATCCCATGTGCTCCCCAACCATTTCTTTAGGGGGCTGCCACTGGATTAGAGCGGTGTTCCCGATGGTGGTGCTGATCATCATAGTGGGCTTTCCAGGAACTGCGATGCAGGAAACATTTGTAAATATTCAGCACTGAAAGACACATTTAGATATGATCTAGCTTATTTTCTTAGCTGGTTGGAAGGTATAGGACCTGTTTTTGAGATCATCATAAAGGCCACACTACTTTTTATTATCAGAAGAACAAAGACTGTTATTCAGACTAGCTTTTGAGTCTAAAAAGCTCTTTAAACCTGTATTTTTGTGTGTGTGTGTGTGTGGGGCGGGGTTCCTAATGACCAGCAGGGGGCAACTCTTCTGGCTCCACAAGAAGTCAAAGTTGCAAAGACGTCTGTTTGCAAAATTCATTTTTCTGATGTGTAAATTATGGTGGAGTGAAACAGACAAAGTAAGGAATGCTTTTCAGAGGGGCTTTGTGTGCAGTGCTGTTGGACTCTTAGTACAATCTGCTCATTGCTAATGACATCTGGTTTAAAAAACAAGACCTGCTTCTCAGTATACTTGGGTTTACTTTAGTTCTTGTGAAATATCATCTGTCAATTCCAACTCAAAGAAGTCGAGTATGCTACAAATGCCTCTGTGTGTACTTGCCCCGCCCGTTCTATCGAGGATGTAATGAGTGTTGACTTGTGTTGACTTGTGCTGACTTGTGTTGACTTGGGGCAGCCAAGTATTCTAGAGTACATTTTGAGGAAAACTCAAAAGCAACAGTGTGAGCACCCAAAGTTGTGACTTAAGTTTAGAAATTTTACTGTTTCTGTGGCAAAAAGCAAGATTTCAAGATCTTTTATATAAGAATGCAGCTGTTTGCCTATTTGCAAAACCGTTTAAGAAGCTCTTTCAGGATGATACCGAGCTAAACGTAAAATGGAGCCAACATTAGCTCATATTATTATCAAAATCAGACAAACAGAAAAAATCAGACTACGCAGGACTAAAAAAAACTCCTGAAAGGTATTAAATGGAGACATATTAGAAAACAAGCAGGAATGTGATCAAGATATGGCCTCAGATTTGTTGTATTAGTTGTATGCAACACACACACCTGCTCCTGTGGTGGTGGCCACCTTGGCCTTGCTGCGAGCTCCGTCACCCTTGGTAGTATATGCAGCCACAGTCACAGAATAGGTTGTTTCTGGGAGCAGACCTGCTATAAAGGCCTCCTGCTCAGCACAGAGACACGGGGAAGAAAAGAGGAGGAGGAAGAGAAACGGAGACAAAGATGAAGAGAGGATGGAAAAAACAGACGAAAGGGCAACAAAATTCAAGTTGAGACAACAGCTTCAGTTCAATTGGCAGAAAATTTAGTGCACTGAGCAACTGAAGCACACAACACATGCATCAGCTTCACATTTCCACCACTCAAGGTATTCTGACATTTCCACACCACCCGAACACCAACCTGTTCACAACACTCCAGTATACCATCACTGCACATCAGCACCGAGTGCTACAAAAGGCTTTTGGAAACGAAGGTTCTTCAGAGATTGTTCCCCGTTTCATTATCTGTTTTTCTTTTATTTCTATTCTTCTTTAACTGGTAACTGCACAGATGCAGTTTATGGACGTTGAATCCAGAATCCTGATCTTCTCTTTGAAGAAACGAGTCATGAGAAGATAATGAAAACATACCTGCTGTTTGTCCAGTTAGATAATTCAAACTAGAACATAAAACCATTTTGTTAGTAGGTCCACCTAACCAGTGAGTGACAGCAACAAAAGAACGAGGCAGTCAATGAGCACAACAACAAGGACAAGCGATGGTCTCCTGGCTGATTACTCAGTGACCACCAACCACCGTCAACCTCCGGCTTTCTAGCGATCTGATACGACAGCGTTATTTCTTGGTGTCCGATCCTGCATCAAGGAGCCAAAGCCAAAAGACACCCTGCGTATAAAAGCAAAACACAGATGGTGTCTGACAAAAGTGCGCTACGTAACACGATGCTGATGCTGCACTGCTCAGCCTGTTCATCTCACACCATACTCAGACTTGAAGATGCTGACGCTCAACCCAGCTGCAAAGCCCCACATCACATACAGAAGGTCACCTTCTGTCAAAGCCAACAAAACCATATCATTTACAAAAAGCAACGGTGCGACCGTGTGGTTCAAATCACAGACAACGAAAACATCCCCTGAAAATGTGGAGGACTTAGTGCCAAGGACCTGAACACAGCTCTCACTTTGTTTTACAAGGATCTGATGCCTTCCAGTAATCTACCCACAGAACATAAGCCTTCTCCAAGTATACAAAACAGTCACTGTCAGCAATATTAAACTCAAATGTGTTTTATGATAAAGACCTCTCAAAGAAACTCGTCTCAGGAGAATCTCTGCCATGCACATTAGGCTACATGTTCGAACGTGCTCGTCCAGCCGCGTTAATATAGCCACATGTACGGCCTGTCAACTGCCGCGAGTCCATGAAGAGGCACGAAAAAGGTCCACTTTTCTCAGATAGCAGAGGACTGCTTTCTACTCCTGAGTGCTGAGTGGAGCAGAGCTGCAGAGATGAAGGAGCGTGTGATGAGAGAAAAATGGCAGCGGGAAAGTGGTGTAGCTGCGAGTGTGTGCGGGGGTTGATAGTTCCAGTAAAGAATGCCCAGTGGGTTCCATTTTGCCCATCATGACCGTGCCTCTGCCTACAGCCCAGGGGCTGCTGAGCCACGGAGATGTCACTGCAAATTAGCAAAGCGCTGCCAAAGGAAAAGGGGGGTGTTCCAGAAACAACCACCACTCTAATTATTATTCTGTGGCAGGCAGTTTAATATCTACCACTGGATATTTAAAAGGGGTGTCTTCTGCTAATTTAAGAGCAGAGACGTACAAAACTGAATTCAGCCGGGGCGTAAAGAGTTAAGATGTTTCCCTCCTTCCTGTGTTCTCTGCAGGGCAAAGAAGGTGAAAGATGAGAGAGAAATGCGACTCATGTGAAGCTACTGAAGTCCTCTAAAAGCCTCATTATTTTAATCTGCTGCTATTCCTTTCCACTTTTGTTGCCAGAGATTTTCTTGCTTTTGAAATGGGGAGAAAAAAAAAATCAAATTGGTCTTTCATCTGTCTTTCAAACGCAGTGCGAGCAGGAGTCTGCAGGGATGAATTCCCAGGGACTGAACAGATGATACACTTTACATTAAGACATGAGACATCTCTCCTATGAGGGGAGCGTCTGCTTTAACGGGAGCCAATCAATCGGCAGTGACTTCCTGTGTGTCAGACATCAAACGCTGCTGTCCTCCACCTCCTTGTCTTTTCAACCTCCATCACCAGTGGGGGAGATTCCACTAATGTTGGGAACAAATCCACTACAAAAGCGCATTAGCAGTTCGCACACTGCGCGGATTCTTCCTCACATGAAGAGGGAAGGACACGTGTGCCTGATATTTCAGTGGATGCTGGAGACCCTTCAACAACACCCACAGTCAGCATGTTACATTTAGGAATTTGATCAATTTGATGCTTTAGATGGCAGCTAGGGAAGCTGAGCTAACAGTCTGCAAGCTTGTTAGCCATGGCTCTGGAAGCATACAGCTAGACCTTTGTTCAAGGGCTGGGCTTCCTTACCCAATTTAAACTGGACATATTCCTCTTTGTTCTAGCAGTGGATGCTCATTAGACATGGCCAAAGTTTCCAATAAGGACATTTGTACAAGTAATCGCTGTGAGATAAAAGGTCAGGCTTCACACTGCTTTTTCCTGCTCTACTGCTCAAACCTTATGCAGCCAAACAGAAGAATGTGGGCTTAGGGTTGGGGGAGGACGGACGGACACAAGAACTAAAATTTGAAGCTGGGAATGAAAGTCCCTTTAAGCAATAGCCTTTCTGGCCACTCTCCGTTTAAGTATTGTGTAGGTTGCATTATTTATTACCTGTGCTGGACTGACGTATTGAACCGTTGCAAAGGGAAACTTGTGCTCAACAGTAAATGCACAAAGTATTTCTATTGCTGGAGCATTATAAGGTGTTCGTGTTGGGGTTTAATCTCTTAGAGAAACGACTCTGGGTTAATTGTGTAGAGTTTGAAAGGAGTTGTTCCTCGAAATAACTGACCCATTTAAATAAAACAGGCACAGCTTACTGAATAAATAAAATATGAAGTCGAAATAATTAAAACGTTTTAGAGACTTCTTTTTTGGTTTCAATCCAGTTAAAGGGAAAACTCATGCGCTATGAAAAATTTAATGAGTGTTTCAGCTTTGCTCTTCATTACAACAGAAATTGGAAGGATGGGTCTGAAATGAGTGTTCCCCCGTGGACAGGGCCTCTCAGGGGCAGATGTGGCGAGTGGCTCTTTCCACTGTGCAGAACTATGGATGGCAGGGTCATCTGAACGACTCGTCTTCACAGTTTAACACGGTTTGGCTCTGTGTGATGTCAGCAGAGAGGACATCATATCTCTCATCTCAGACGCACAGCTCTGGCCCGACGGTCCCTCATTCTGGTCAAAGCTTCTATTTATGAGGGCCAATCAAGAAGAAAGCTGGCTTAAAGGCACGATAGTCTTAAAAGTACATTTTGTAATTACTCTGTGAAGCTCTGAACCAGAGCTTTCATCGCTCGGTGGCATTTTACCATTTGGTAGTTAAATATGTTTAGAAATGTGCTGCTATAGTTTTCTTTTTAATCCTTCCAACATTTCCTCAACAGCTGCTTTTCCCCCTGATATTGTAAATAAAAATGTGTTGATTCCTACAAAACAAAACTTACAGTGACTTGAAGCACCAACATGTGGTAGAAATTGGTATTACACAAAAGTGCTGCCTGGCCCTACAACAATACTGCATAGTTATTATTGTAGGCTTTTACTATACAAATAAAGTTGAACTGAATTAAAATGAAATTGAATACATATTTTAGATTTGCAGTGGTTCTTTCTGCACATTCTGTTGACTGTTCATAATTCTGATATGCTTGAAATTGTTTTTAATTTCAGTTTACCTGTAAAGTATTAGCAGAGAAGTAAGTACATGCTGGCAGGTAACACTAAGCAACCAAGGCACTGTTTCCACAAGCGCATACAAACGTGGCTTTTCGTTTAAATCCAAGAACCATATTTTATAAAGGTAAAAAAAACAAAGAAACAATACAAACACATAACCACAAAGAAAAAGAAGCAGAACCACCGACTGTTGTTTTCACCCTGTTATTAATAAATGTATGTCATCAATAATGTACAGGTCCACAGAGAGCAGCCGGCGTGTTCTTAAATGTGAACTTTATTTTCCTTTGCAGTCTGTGCTTGTGGAGAGCTCCACTGTAATAACTGAGTATTTAATAAGTACTTAATAGTGAACAGTAGCAATGAAGTTGAAACCTAAATTAGTTTTGTCCCAAAAAGGATCTAAAAGAATCTAAAATGTTGCTCAATGCCGGGTTACACCGAGCCTGCTTTTGAAGAACTTCCTTCAGTTTATTTTCCATTAATTCTACTTCATTAGAAACTCACTAACAAGCTGTTAGCTCATCAATATGATGTAATATTATGAAAGGAAGCATCAACGCTGTGAAGAATAAGTGATGTTACTGTTTAGTCAGAGCACAGATGCAATACGTCTGACTGTGCCTACAGTCATTTACAGTGAGTCACCAGAGCACAGGCAAGGTGCACGACTGAGAATGCAATCAAAACGCATTTTCCACTTTCCCAAACTAACCACAAGAGGCTGAAAATATTTCTTTCAGACAGCAGCTATTGCAGAAACAGTGTCTGCTGATTCTAGTCTCTAGTATTGTGTAGTATCAGACCTTTGTCATTTATAAAAACAATTCTACATGATTTTTCAAATTGCAAAAATCAGTTACCTGCAAACGGTCTTTAAATTTCTCTCTGTCTCAGCTTCTAACGGGTTTGGACAAGAATAGGTGCACAAATGTTGAGGACCTCGCTTCTTGCATGAGAAATGACGCAATAGGAGCCACAAAACAGCAGCGTGTTGTGTATGCACTGATTTGATGTGTCTGCCTAGTGCAAATAAGACAATCTTACACAGACTGTAAGTGAGGTCAAAGCGTGAACACATAGCCCACAGAGCACACACCACAGAACAAAATATGTAAAAGAAAATCCATTTACAGCAGTACAAACTGAGCCCCAACTCCCTGTAATCCTTCATCAATAAGCCCCGTGCTTTGCACTACAGGTAGACACAAACATCTAGT